TGACAATGACCAACAATATCGCACTTCCATTTTTGATAGATGGGGACAAGTGGGTTTATGATTTTCCTTGACTGCAAAATACTCCACGTCGACGTCACTTCACGAGAAACCGTCCCGGCCAAATAGGTCTTGTGCGCCCACTTCTAATCAGATTAATAGAATGCCTACCGGGGAACTACTGGTCTATAAAAGATGGGATGTACATGTCGGCACACTGGGGAATTATTAATGATGGTGGGCGCTGGGGATCAAAATGTCATCCCTCACCGCAGGGCAACGCTGCCTGGTCAACAACCATTCACTGCTTTTTCCGCTTGGGCATTTCTCTCGCTCTCTGTGTCGCTCGCCCGGTTTTATGCCTCGCAGCATTCTGACAAGTTCACACAATCCGTAGACCAGAGAATGTATGATCGTCACAGGCACAGAGCTTTTAAAGTGTACATGTCACGTAGGTCTTACGGGTAAAATCAAAGGTGCAAGTGGACACTATTCACGATCCCAATTCTGAACAGAATTTTTTAGAGACCCTTTGACTTGTAGGAATCAATTGGAGAGTTGCACATATGAAAAGCCAGAACGGTAAAAACGAACACATGTATGGTACATGTGTTATGTGTATTAGGAGCAAAAAACTTGGGTAACGGGGAAGTCACCAAGGGAAAGCTGTTTTGCTGTTTTTGTTTTCTTAAATACTGTAAGTACCATGTAAGAAGACCGAATACAAAGAAAACTCACATTCATTCACTGTTTAAGCACACAACACATTACAACACTGCACATGTGCAGCCGTCCTCTTTTGACTTAAAGCACGTTTGGTCGGCAAACAAAAATATTTTCAATCATTGCAATCAGTTGAAAGCTTTTTACATTTCAATAGTAATACTTGCAACATGGTCTCTGCTAAAAAAAAAGCTTTTAATGCCTTTCCCTTCTGCTGCAACTTGTTTGCACAGAATCACCAATGAGGCACGAATGTAAATGTACCAATGTTCAAAACAGCTGCTGAAGCGTTTTCCTCAAAAATAATCATCAAGATTTCACAATTTTCGCCTCGAGATAAATATTTCACCGTGTGTATGAAAAAGATGGGGGTATTTAAAAATTGAAAAGGTCTTCTCCACCTTGCTTTACTTTTGATTAACCCTAACTCCCTAGCATAATTTTCTAGGAACCATAACCATCCTGGCAAATTCCAACACCCACATATGGGAAATACATACACACACACTGTTGGACTTAGTTTCTGGAGGTATGCCAAACCCAATGTAAACGACCATCAGTTTAGGGGTACTGTACCCTACCTATCCCAACAGATTTCAACAAAACCTGCTGTTGGGCTTTGATGGGTTGAGTTCGGTTAGGGTTAAGATCTAACATATATGTGCCCACTGTATTTCCATGGTCTTCTTGAATACATGAAAAATTTCACATTTTTGATTTGGTTATTACTGTAATATGTGTAAACACACAGTTTAAATTCAGATCTGGAATATTTCTTTAAATAAATGTCGCATTGTCTTTTAGCCACTGGATACATTTGAGTTCTGAGTTTTACACAAACTGAACATCCTGTTCCTTTAACCGCTTCGAGCTGACGGAACTTCCCGGCCAATTCAGAATGAAATAAAACAACCGCGCTCCGTGGACTAGCTTGAGCGACAACACAAACACTTGGGACGTTTCTCTGGGGCTGCTGCATTAACAGCAGAAGGCACTTTGGGGTACGGGACAAGAAGGTGGAAATGCTGGTCTGCTCTTGACGAGTTCCGGGTGGTTCATGCATGTGATTCGAGAATGTCAAACGGGTGAAGCAAAGAATCACGACCGTTGAGGAAAGTTATTTAAAGACTTTGAAAAAGCATGGACACGTGTGTAAATGTACCGGTACCAAATGTCAATGAACATTTACATGTACCGTACATGTTGTATGTTTGCCTGCTCCTTATAAGTTATAGTAAGCAACGGCCGTACCGGCTGAATAGAATTCACCCCATGCACATGAACTATATGGGCAAGTACATGTACATTTATGTTAACCCTCCTAAGCCAACGTACATTCTGTGCCAAGTTGTCCTTTTAATCAAAATCAATCAAGTGACTGTTTTCAACAGTTTTAAAGAGCTCCCAGCCTACATAAAGCAGGATTGACTGGCTGTGACTGTTTATGTACCGGTAACTTGATACAGCTATGCTTTGACTCTAAGTGATTGATAAGCCAGCTGTGCCTAATTCTTGCCTGCTTTTGTCTGTTGACTGAATGTGACTAGTCACAGTGCTTGCTTGAAATGTGATCTGATTTTTGGTGACTAGCCTACAGTGTAAAAGGCATGACAGGGGAAGAGGATTGATTTCTGACTGTCTGTGACAGTTAAGATAGCAGGAGGGTTCATTTTATATACCGGTATATGCTGCTTGGAATGTGTGTGTGCCATGATTTTAAATCTGATGTTAAGCATCGTCAGTAGTGTCGTTAAATTTCCATCCTTTAAAAATAGCCTGCCTGCAAACAGTTCTTTCAAGTCACGAACAAATCTCAAGTTTCGTCTCAAGTGTATCAGAAGTCTGAGTCGCTTCGCAAGTCACAAAAATACTGCCACTCTAAAGCGTCTCGCGTCCCAGTCACTGACGTCATTGCCCAACTCTGGTTTTCAACAGAAATCTGTCAGAGGTGCATGTACTCTTCGAAAAGATTTATCACGGTATTAAACTTGAGCAAGCGTGCTTGACGCTGACCGCACACATGTACCCATGGTATCCATTGAGTAGCTACCGAGAAAGTAAAATCTACACCTCTTGTGGTGCTACAAAGAATGCCTCCAGGGAAACAAAAATTGGCTGGCTAAAAAAATCATACAATTTACTGTACATGTACACAGACCGGAGTCTGAGTACAAGATGGTGAGTGATGTTTAAAAAGAAAAAGAAACCCGCTGGTAACTTAACACCATTCCAATCAGCCCCACAGGATTTGTAATGGCACTTCAATCTGGTATAACAACACGCCATTGGTAATCTGGAAGCCATGTTTTGCCCACACAGGGATTTGGTGGCAATTGGTCATCTCCGGAAAGGCCTTAACCTGACAATCTGTACAATGACATGTTTTGAAACTTGTATACTGTGTGTCGCATGATTATTCTGAAGGAAGCTTGACACTTGCCCTTCAAATGAACAGAAAATGGCAAGAACCAGGGCCCAATCTCATAACGCTGCTAAGCACACAATTTTCTGCAGAAACAGAGCCTCTGTGTATTTCATGGAGACCGTAGCGGTAAGCACAGCAAAAGGCACGCTTACCTCAGAGGACAAATTTGCTTAACTGAGGCTCCCGCTCAGGTAGTACGCTTGCACTTCTGGCTTCTTAGACCAATAGGGTTAGCAAACTGTGATTGAAGAACGTGTGCCGCATGCCCGTGGATGTGGGTCCACCTCAAAAAAAGGCCTCTACTTTTATTCACCGAATAAGTTTATGCCAACATTTTTTGTACTCTGTTAGTTGCAATGCTGCAGCTGAGTTCATCACTAGTCATTCTGATGCAAGTTTAATCCTTCAAGGAAGTATATCACAAGTGAATTCACAAGGCTGGTCACAAGTAACAGGGGATGAACACTAACGATGGAATTCATTTGTAAACATTCCATTTGAATAGCTTGTGACTTGGACCGACTTGAGAGTGTATGACTTGTGACTATCACTAGTCAATTCCTAAATCAGTTCACAAGACTGGTCACAAGTAAGGCCTGCATGTGCTAGACGCCGTGCTGCTGCTGTACCAAACTTAATTGAAGTGAGTGTGGCAATAGCTCGTCTACAGCACGGCAGTTGCTCTTAACGCAGAACCTAATTGTCAAACCTTAATGCATCTGGAGTAACGGGCCAGGTTTAATGCAAGACAAGCAGTTCAATGAACTTCCAGCGCGATCAAACTATTCGCACCAATTTCGATCCCTGTGATGCGGACGCAAGAGAGGTTTAATGTCAGACGAGCAGTTCACTGAACTTTCAGCGCGATCAAACTATTCGCACCAATTTCGATCCCTGTGATGCTGACGCGAGAGAGGGTATTGTGAGCATGCTCTTTCCTAAAACGTTTGCCCCAACTTTGAATTGAATTGAGTTCAGCAGGGCAATGGAATGGCGTTGAGAACAGTGCTGCGACACTGCCGTGCCACTGCTGCTTGGAACAACGATAGCGCATCAGCCTTGATGCCCAAAGGGCATTGCCACGCCGAACTCAATTTGCCGAGCCAAATGGTTCTAAACGCCGTGCTTTCGCCATGCTGAATTTAAACAAGTCATATTAATTGAGTTTGGCACGGCAGTAGCACGGCGTCTCGAACATGCCTACCAGGGGATGAACAATAACAAAGGAATGCCCTTGTACACAGTTCCTTTGAATAGCTTGTGACTTGACTTGAGATTGGACAACTTGTGTGACTTAACTGTGATGGGCTTGTGAGGACTTGTAATGGACTGTGATGGGCTTGTGATGGACTTGTAATGGACTGTGATGGGCTTGTGAGGACTTGTAATGGACTGTGATGGGCTTGTGAGGACTTGTAATGGACTGTGATGGGCTTGTGAGGACTTGTAATGGACTGTGATGGGCTTGTGAGGACTTGTGATGGACTGTGATGGGCTTGTGAGGACTTGTGATGGACTGTGATGGGCTTGTGAGGACTTGAGATGGACTGTGATGGGCTTGTGAGGACTTGAGATGGACTGTGATGGGCTTGTGAGGACTTGAGATGGACTGTGATGGGCTTGTGAGGACTTGAGATGGACTGTGATGGGCTTGTGAGGACTTGTAATGGACTGTGATGGGCTTGTGAGGACTTGTGATGGACTGTGATGGGCTTGTGAGGACTTGTGATGGACTGTGATGGGCTTGTGAGGACTTGAGATGGACTGTGATGGGCTTGTGAGGACTTGAGATGGACTGTGATGGACTTGACGATGACCCTAGTCAGTAGCGCTTCTTTGTGCATCAATAACTTACCGCCGTTGACGTCCTGGTTTTTGTTGTTGTTCCGCCTCCTCTTTCGGGTCGTCCGTACTGGGACGGAGGTGTACCTAGAAACGGGAGGTTGGAGGGTGTCTTCCGCCTCTTTGGATGTCTCCAAGTTGACTGTATCAAGGTGGTGTCTCAATGACTGTATGAGATGGGGACAAAAGAGAGACAATGAGATTCCAGAAGCTGAAATTTGACACAACACTGATTGGGCAAAGTGCCCAATTCCTTCACTAAACCTTGGACAATTACTAAATTCGACTGAGCACATTTGTTGTTCAGGCAAATTTGGAAACTTGGTCCGAAAATGTTTCACGTTCACCCATACTTTGATTCCACGCTCTCAGATTCAAGACAAAGGAGGAAGATTGATGTCACCTCACTGGGTGCATGTGCTTGCCCAAAGTAGAAGAACTTTCATTTTCAAATTCAAAAAGTGAGGCAGTTTGGGGTTTCTTCTGGGAACAAATGGTCTAAACAAATCTTAATATCATCCTTTTGGAGGTGGAGGGTGGGTTCTATTTTAGGATTTCTGAACATATATTTTGATAAATCTGCATGACCTTATCATACTGTACATGCACAAAGCCAAGGATTTCAAGGACACAAAATAAGAGAAATTTCAGGATTTGAAGAGGAAACCATGTTTTCTCAAGTCAAGTTGACGCATACACAAAAGTCACCCGCTTACATATTATGACAGTCTTTTATGAACTGCTGAACCACTTTTATGGCCACTTCTGAATTTCGTAAATATTTTGAATTTTGAATTGGATGTATGGGAAATATGATCTAGATTTATATTTTATTCAGAAACATCTCTGAAAACCCGGAATGACCTGAAAACAATTACTAAGATTCAAACCTTTATGCAGTGCATGTTTGCGGAAACACATACGACACCAATTTGACAGCCTGAAATTTGCAGCGGTTGAAAGAAACTTTACACGACATATCACCAAATACTCTCAAGAAGAGAACCACAAGTGCAGGAAATTGCACTGCACACTGCACAGTACCCCTTGTCCCCCTCAGGCTACACACGTTCAGTATCTGATCAAGGCAAGTGCTTTGTTTGGCCCAAATAGTCCCCTCCCGCGAAAACTCCGCAATCGCAATTTCATCAGTCAGCCCCGTCGGCCCATCAAACAGCTGACGCGAGGCTAGAAAACAACTCTAAGGTTCGGATGTCACTCCAATATTGATTAGGCCAACCACAGAAATATATTGGGCCGCACGATCTGTGACGTGCCGAGATGCACTGCGCGGCCCTAAAAACCAAAACACCCGGGTCTGGAAGGGGTCAGTTTTAAATTAAAACGGCGTTTCTCCTGTCGCCTCGGACTCGATGCGGAGAGATCGTTAAGATGTATCGGTTTCTCTTCCCTCTGATTAAACGAAAACATTCACGTACATGTATGTTAACAGGTTTGTGAGTGTGATAGATTCTGATCGGCGGTTTGTTATGCCCAGATGGCGATGTAAATAATTGAACTTAATGTCTTTCGGAAGGAGGTTGATCAAAATCTCAAGACGAAGAAACCGGTTCTTAAAACTATAAGCCCCAAGAGATAACTAACAATCACATTACTGCAATCTTTTGATACATTGGTTTGTGATTTTCTGCCACGCCAAAATAGTGTATTCTGCAAACTTGAAAGTGTAAAAAGCTCATTAGCAAATCGCACTTGTATTACATTGTACTACACTATATTTACTTCTTGATGAAGCCATAAAACATATAGTGCTTTGGCCGTTTGGGGCAGTATTTGTAGGAGTAACAGGCAGGACATTTTGGGGCAGTACAGGGACTAAACGGTTAAAAGATAACTTTCATTATTGCCCAATACACTAATATAAGAATTCACTTAACATGACAAAAGCCTTATGACAAACTTTCATGCTCGACTTCTTTTAGGTAGTAAAGGACCATTACACGGCAACAGATTGCATTCCCTGGAATGGAAATTTGACAATAACAAATTTCGATACATGTATGACAAAGTGTGCCCTTGTCTTTAACTTTGTTAAATATTCGACAAATATGTAGGGGATTGGCCATCTGTTGATGAGTTGTTTTGTCTCTGAAGCGACTCAAGACTCTTGATGCAATTACCCAGATGAAGCCGAATGCCCCGTTCTGTGATTGCTTTATCTCTAATGAGCTTAATCCAACTCGACGGTGTGATTCCAAACGGGACGTCCAAATTGCAATGATCTTAATTCCAATTCTCATTCATTATTAGCTAATTGAATCTGACGCCGCTTGTTGTATACAGATGAATGCGATTAGCTCATTCTGGCGCCTGCGGCCTAATTTCTGCCCTTTTTAATACAATTACGCAATCAAAATCAGAAACAAATGACATTTTCAAACTCTATTTCTGCTTCGATCTCCACTTGTAGATGGGGTTTTCTATAAATTTGGGGTCTTCTTTTTTCCCCTGTCCCTGTTACATCCGACATCTTGGATTTTATATTGTAATTTGGACGTCCCATCTTGTATGATTTTATATTGTAATTTGGATGTCCCATCTCGTTATCAGTGATTCATGCCTTATACTTCAATGTTTGAAATGAACTTGTAAATACAGCTTTATTTGTGTAAATACATGTATGACTAGTACTTATACACATATATAAATTTTTGTAGTATATACATTTTTATATATTAATGTTTGTAGTCTGTTTCTGCACTTTCCTTGTGAGTTTTACTTTGCTGAAATTTATTTAATATTGCAGTGCATGCAGGGCCCCAATGGAAACCAGTTTTAAACTGTTTTGGATAAAAGAATGAGAAAAGGAATAAATAAATAAATAATTCTGGTGCACTCCTTAATGGAAGAGTGATTATGAATAGCAAACTAACTACCCAACAAAAATAGAATATTTTGAAGTCATTCTTAATGATACTTGAATTGCAAAATACAAAGTACCAAGGTAACAGGGACAGGAAAATTGTCACACTTTGGACAATAAGTTTATAGAACGACCCAGCAGCAAATTACATTTTAAGGCAGCTGTGTTTGCTCACCTTGGTTTGTCTGTAAGTGCCACGGACTTTATCAGAAATATCTACATTTGTTCTCAAGCACCTGTGGCTTGTACATGTACATGTACATGTATTTGAAGGTGAAATTGATGATTCACAAAATAATGTACATGTTTTTCCCCCTTTTTTTTTTCAATTCAGGCTGCATCTGAATCAATGTCTAGAGCTAGGTCTAGGTCTGCGCACATTAAAAATACGCGGGGACGCGCTGACAATAGACGTAGCCCTAGCTCTGGAAGCCTGTTTCGGACACAGCCTGAATTTTGTTATACATTTATTTAATTTTGAGTGCTGGAAGTTCAACAACTACTTTATTTACCAACTTCCAATAACTCAGGAGCTAATACCGAATATCCATGCCCTTCAAATCATGTTATATTTTTTTAAATAATATATTCCTTCAAAGTGCCTGGCTAACTCGATATACAATTATGCAAAGACACGGATGATTGAATTTCTGTAAAGAGATACGCATAACTTAATAATAGTGGTATGTGTAGCCCAGTCCACTTTGCAAGATGTTGCCTGGTTGTTATCTAGACATGAATATGTACTTTGAGGAGCCGTAGACACAATTTTAACGTATACATGCGTTTTACACATTAATGCCCTCTGGATTGAATTGTGTGGAATAACTGTGCAGCAACTGTGAAAATCGTACCGTACTTGATCGGAATGTCAAACGTGTTCAGTACTTTTAAAAAACCTTTCTGTTTGTAAAAACTGCAAAACTTTGGGTAAATTTGTATTGGGATTTCAAGTGCTGTTCAAAAGCTCCTTTGAACATTCAGTCATGTGAAAATTAGAAAATTACACAACAAATAATCGAGTTGGTTAGTTTTCATTTTTAAAGACTCTTTTGTTAATTCTGAAATTTGTTACATTCCAGAAATAAATTTTGAAAAAAATCGTCAAATTTATCATGGCTAATGTGAGCTAAATGTACATAAACAACATGCACACAACACTTTTTCATTGAAACAAGTTTTATTGCAACGAATACAGCCAATATAATTTAATTCCACGAATCAAAGAGGATTAAACTTAAGTTTTTTTTGGACAAATGAAGGTTCATGAAGTGCATGGCAGCAAAACAAACCACTCAGTTTTGTTCAAAGATGAGGGTAGGCTTTATGGCTGCTTGAGAAGGGTGCCAAACGATTGCACTGTGAAAGCAATTTTATCATTTTTTGTTTTGCAAGCTATCAGGGTCAGATCAGTCGTGAAGGACACTTAATCTTGCAGGCAGTATTAGTGACATACATGTATGTAGAAATGGCCGAGGTTGAGACCAATTAGTGTGTACTACATGCAAATTACGTATACCTAATCATGCCCTCAGGTGTATTTTAAGCATGCATGTATTATGCTGTTGTCCAACTTCTTTCTTGAAGATATGATATATGGAACTGTACATTTTTACAGTACAGGGTGAGTAAAAAAAAAAACGAAACCCAAATGTCAGGACCATTGTTTAAGTAAAGTTATGCATGTAGCACTTCCAAAATCTACGATATGAAAGCCCAATTCACAAGCTTTCTTTTAGTACAAGAATCATTCAAATCACTTGTGTACTTTTGAAGTTTCAGAATTTTAAACACAACCACCATTTTATAGTTCTGTCCACGGATCAACAGAAGGTAAGTGTTCTATCAGCAAAACGAAAAACAAATCACACAGGGATGCGTGTGAGTCGTTTCGTTTTGCTGAAAGAACGAACAACTTCTTTGTGATCCGTTAACAGAACTTTAAAACGGTGGTTGTGTTTAAAATTCCGTAACTTCAAAAGTACATGAGCGATTTGAATGATTCTTGTACTAAAAGAAAGCTCACGAATTGGGCTTTCATATCCTAGATTTTGGAAGTGCTACATGCAGAACTTCACTAAAACAGAAGTCCCGACATTTGGGTTTCGTTTTTTTTTACTCACCCTGTACAGTTGTATGTGTGGTGTCCGTACATGTATGAATACATTCAACTTAAAATTGTTTATTCATGGAGGCATGGCTAAGTACAAGCTTCGTCTTTCTGCCAGCCTCCGCCATTCATCACATTTGTTGTAAAGTGTAGTCACTTTTAAAATTATGTTGAATGGAAACAAAATCAAATCCAATCAAATCAAACCAAACTAAAGCCGTGCATACATTAATGATGAAATTATCCCGTCAACAGTGACAAAGAGAGATACAACAAGCACGCGAGACTTATTGCTGCCATGCCCCAGCGGCCCAGCCCCCACAAGTAAACACCAAAGCTAGGAGTAAACACCAAACCTAGGGTCTAGTGCGTACAGTGCGTCATATGCAAGTAAACCAATGCTTTCAAGAATAATAGACCTACATGTACATTGTAAAGTAATGTGATGCTTATAGCACTTTATACCAAAAACCCCAAAGTATTTCTCAATTATTACCCCTGTTCATGGTTTATCTGCAGCAGCTCGAGATCAGCGCACTCTGGGCTCGACCTTCACAGTACCCATTTATGGTTTGAGTGAAATTAAAGGATTATTTCAAATGAAAATTTGCATACGTTTTTGAAATGAATAGTCATTAGCTGAATCTGATTGGTTGTGGGATACCAACCTTGACCGTCTCCGTCCAACCGTCTTGCTCTATTTCCCACGTGTCTAACCTGATCCAATCAGACGACTTCATTGCCAGCTTGCACATCTCTGCCCGATGCTTGGCTGAAACAAGACCCTGTAATCAGATTTTTTTTTCAAAAAAGGCAAGGAACAAAGATAAAAACTTTGAGAAACTTCAGCCAACGACCAAATGTTAAACAACGCATTAAAAAAGTATCTTGCTCCTACTTCGGGAGTGGGGAGTGGGGGGGGGGGGGAGGGGAAGTCAGCTTGGCACAGTGGTTCTTCTCTCCCCTTCCACCTCTATGGCCCAGAATCCATTCCTGTCCTGGTCCACACCGGATTGGGTTTTCAGTCCCTACCTGATTCCGTGGCATTTTCCCCAGAATATTCTTCTGGGGTTTTCCTCCCACCCTCTAAAACTGTAATTTCTTCTCATTGTCTCCTCTCTACAGGTTTCTTCAGGCATGCAAGCTACAGGACCTAGGGCGCTTTTGAGGAATCTTTTGTTTCATTACCAGAAATAAATGATGATAATGATGATAATGAAAACTACATGTAGTACACACTAATACCAAAGTTGGAACGTCTGCTAATGAAAGTATATAGTCGATGTCATCACCAAACTTTTCTGGTCCAAGCAATATGTACAAATGTACGGTACCTGGTACAGTGCAATACGATCAGAAGGCCAGTCCCAATGGATCATATTAAAAATTAATCCCTCTTTGGCTGTTAACTTGTTGAATTTTAATGAAAGTTAATGCAAAAATAGCATCGATGAACTACTTTTTCAGTAGAACCAGTGGATACTTCATGCCATGGGCGTGACCGGGATTTTTCTAGGGGGGGGGGGCAAAGTTTTCAAAATCCTTGTACTTTCTTTAGCATATTCTCGTTTTATCATATATTTTTTTAGTTGGCGGGGGACATTTGCCAACCCCACCCCCATTGACACCCCTGTGGATGCCCATGTTGTTAAATGTGCAATAAATTAACAGCAAGACTTTGCACCTCATTTTCTTCCTTTATTTTCCTTGTTTTTTTCTCGGGTTTTTGTTTTTTTGTTTTTTGTTTTTTGCTTTTCTCGCGACGCCCATGCTTGATACTAATCCTGACTCCAAATTTGGTGCATAATTAAAGTGGCAGATACTCAATGAAATAGAATCCGTACTCAATGAAATAGATATACCGGTACACATGAACTCGCCCACCGGGTACATTGTACCAACTCCATAATGTCATTACTCTTTAAGTATACTTAGGATGATTCTTTCCATATTGCAAGAATTTAACAAAATCAAGTCAGAGGACCTACATGTACAGCACTATGTACAAACCGGTAACATGTACACATTCCTGTAGCTAATCAGCCCACGCACGGCGACGCAATTACAAAAATTTAATCAGGAATGCATTAAACAATATCACGCTGCGTCTCAATGCCAAACAGACTGTCCAACGAAAAATAGCTCGGCACTAGTCTCCAGTAATTCTTGAAGAAGATCATTAGACATGTTAGACGGATGTATTAGCAAATAGACAGCAAGGTCAAAACACAGTTTGAGATTCCGTCACAACTACAGAATATGTAACCTGATATAATAACATCTACTGCAAATAGATAATAGATACGGTAGTTGGTCCTGCACCTTGTTGTTTCAAACAAATTTACATTTGAACAACTTTCTTGTCCAATTTTTGTTATGTGTAGGGAAATCCCATGTCTACATACAATACATGTTGGTCTATCTGCTTGGCCCCGACCAACTGGCTTGCTTAAAGCTACAGTCCATCATTTGCAGCTATCAAAAAAGTGACTGACGTAATTATTGTCGAAAAACATACTTGGTTGAAAGATAGCAAGGGGACTAAACTCCCTGTGGAATTATTCTTTCTGGCGTGCTGTCATTTTGAAGAAATCAACGAAAGAAGGCCTTTCCAACGGTGTGTCTTAACCATTGAAAATTTCCGTTAGTAGTTCTTTTTTTTATGGCGAAGTGCGCAAGTGTTGACAAGACGCGCGCGCGCCCTCTATAATTTGTCGAATCAGTGCGCGACATCACGTAGCTGCTTTCGGCTCAGTAAAAACGTGTCTCGGACACTGAATTCAGGCCCAATTCAAAACATGATTCAGCAACTTTTGATTTGAAATCGAGATCCTAGAATGTTGTTTTTCTCGAAAAATACAGCTAAAGCTGAGCTGAAACTTCATAAGGTTAGTTGTTTATCACCCTTCTTTAGATTTTGAGAACGTTTGTTGCTTCAAACGAACAAAATGCACAATTACAAATGATGGACTATACATTTAAACTCAATAAAAATGTAAAATGAGAAATCCCTGGCAAACTATATACCGGTATGTGATTAGAAAGCAGAAAAGTAGGGCTACAACATGCAATGAACCCAAAGTCTTCAGGCCCAGTACGTTTGGTGAAAATTCAACATTTAGACCCCAAAGCTGATCGCTTATGTAAGTGCTGTTGGGTGTACATGTGGTATTTCTACCCAAGTATAACATTTGGCACATTGACTTAAAGGCATATTGGATCATTTGCATCATTTTCAAGTTATGATCAAAAAGCTTACTTGGATTAAAGATTGTTCTGGTACTAAACACCCTGTGAATTTATTCCGCCTGGCTTGCTGTCATTTAGAAGAAATACAAGAATGTAGGTGATTTCCAATGAAAATGTCGATCAGTCAAATGACTGATTTTTGGGGAAAAAGAAGGCTGTCAAGGAAATAGTGTTTCGTGATCAAAAGGTTGTGCAGGGTTTCTCACTATTTTCTCGAAAAAGCGTAATATCCACTGAGCCGAGACTTCAACAGATTATGTTTTAAACACTCTTCCTTGAATTTTGAGTGGTGTTATTAATTAGAATCAAACAGAATGCATAAAAAGCAAATGATCCTATATATGTCTTTAACATGTTGTCTGAGTTAACTTCATGTAGGATCGTTTCCACACATTTTAGGTTAAATGCACACATATACGATGCAGTCTGGTCTGCAACGCTTTAACAAGTGTGCACGATTTGACACGTTCCAGCACTTGTTTATCTTAGCACGTCTTCAATAATCCTTCCTGACCGTCTTCAATAATCCTTCCTGACCGCATCTCCACTTCCCCATTAATCTTTTCCCGGACCATACATTTGAGCAGGTCTGCTGTTCCATCTGCTCTGACCCCAAGGAATATTACTGTCCATGCCGTGTCCCATCTCTTGACCATCTATTGGCCATGCCAGCTGCACATGCTTACGGGTCAAGGGGGAAACATGAGGAACGTGTATGGATTTCAGCCCATGAGTTCTGGCCAAGAAGGAACTCGTGCGACCCTGAAACGCAAAACGCCGCAGTCTGAATGGCGTCACCGATTTAATTATTCATCTTCGCGCCGGAAGTTAAAATCGCACTCTTGGGTGCATTTCACGCAAGGATGAAGTGAATAATTATCACCGAGGATTTAAAATACCAGACAAGTTCAGAAGTTGCACACAAGCTGTTGTTAAAATTCTGACAATTTAATTTTAGCCGCTGAAAATCTTCTACAGAAGTCAGTTTGCAAAACTTTGGCCCACAAGTGGCCTGCTGTAGAAAGCAAGTGAGTCATTCTTCACTTCTAAACCTCAACTCCAATTCCTTCTCCTCATCTCAAAGATTTAGATCGAAGGAAATACAGAGTTCATTCTCATAATGAACAAGTACTTCCCCCTTTTCAGAATTCTTCCCTGTGAAATGTTATGTATGTTTAGAATACATGTGCAGTTTTGTACATCATGGCACCTGTACTTTTTGTTCATGTTAATTATTGGATGTGCAGTACCGGTAAATGTGGGTGGGACATCTGGGACCAGGAGCTTCCTTTACATTGCCTTGTCTAATTCCCAGACCTATTTACTTAAAACTCAATGGTTCTTGACTCATTGTATGGTAACTCATCACAATCAGTGGAAAGTGGTGAGCAAATGAATGGATAAATGAATACATACATGTCTAACGGTATGTTTTCACCCACACAGCACAGCATCTGCATGTACAATACAGGCAGTATGTTTTTCTGAAGATTGGCTTTTCTATTGAATTCTACTAAATTAGCCCTGACCCCCTAAGGGCTCTTTGGGGGTCAAGTGCCAAATTACTACATGTGTTGTGCACACTTATATGGAAAGAAATATATACTACAGGTTACTACTCGGTAGTATTTTGTAGCATTGGGGGCAGTTAGGGCTAATAAGCCATTTGCGAGTTAAATTTGAATAAAATCTGAAACGCTGACTTAATCCAATGCTTTGCACGTTTTAACTTTTCTTTCGCCCGACCAAAGAGACTGTTACTGTATCACGTGATTCGGGGCAAGCCTTATGCTAGCAACCCCCAGCTCCGGCATGGTCTCGTGTCTTTGTGCCATTCTCACCCATTGTGAACAATGTATTGGTGCTGAGCGTCTCTTACGTAACTATGCAAGAGCTTGCCCCGAATCATGTGATTAGCAACAGTGTCTTGGGTCTGGAGAATTCAAAGTTAAAATGTGCCAAGCATTCTGAGCAAGTCAGTGTACCAGACTTTTTCAAATTTAAATCCCAAAGGGTATAGGTCACTCCCAAATGGCTTACTGCCACAATATTCTTGGGGGGGGGGGGGGAGGGCAAAGGGCAGCGGGGGTTAACCCTTTCCATTTATGAATGTCAATTTTTTTCATACATTACAGCATACATACCACCGAGAGTAATTGATTAATATTATGGCTTCATATAATGAAATCTACTTTGTAAGTCTAGGGCCAGAGGGATTTAGTTACGTCAAATCAGTCAGCATAGGGCTAAGCAAACTTGTTTGAATAGCCAGGTTGAGTCCATTAATTAATTGCTTCGTCCCCCGTTGTCTTGTAAGATATTACCTTCTTGCTGTAGGCATCGTGTACCGGTGATATGATGCCGGATATGACTTGGTATTTGCCCGTCCGCTGTAGATAATCCTTGGCTATTTCTGTAATTAAAAGAACCAGAAGATAAAAGTTAACATCCTTGATTTTTACAGGAAGTATGAAAATCTAATGATGAACATTAGGCCAAAAAAAATATACTTCTGCTTCCGATTACATGGCAATTTTTTTTGTGTATGATCATATGGAGGCATCTGCGTGTAGTCAAGGGTAAAAGGTAGTAATTGATGGTTTTGGGTGGGTTTTTTTTCTCATTTTTCCCACCAAAAAATTAGGGTAGGGGCTGTCAGAATAGGGAAGGTAGGGAAACCGGAAGCAGAACTATTTTTTTATTTTTTTGGCCTTACAGACAAAAACACAAGCTTGTCTTTTAACTGTTTTTTTTTTAGTCAATGGCATGGACATTTCTTCAGAAATGGTAGGCATTTGACAACACTGTTTTAGTTTTCACTCCCCCTCGATTTTTTTTAAAACCAGATTTCCCAACTTAATCAAAATTAAGTAAAAGAGTAATTTATTTCTGAACTCTATTAACCACAAAAATTGAAGAAAAAAATCCCTTCAAATTCAAAAGATTGTCCTGTTCTTTACCAAACAAAGTTTCCAAAAAGAAAACATTTCAAAATCTTCCGAAAATCAGATCCTCAAAAATTCATTAGATTAAACATTTTCTGAGCTCCCCCAATTTTCCATCTTGAACTGAATCTGGTCAAAAGTAAACACAGGACCATATCACAGATATATATTTTCTAAGCGTCATGAGATTCCCCTGACCGAGTCGACCAAATGAAATCTTTCATTTCAATTGGATTTTGCCAGTTTACAGGCTTACACTTCATCCAGATTAATTTAAGACACAACAAGCATGACGGCACCGGGAATCTTTCACTACCCCCCTCCGGCCCAGAAATCCATTCTCCATTTCCCTACAAGACGAGAACCGATCGTTTCAAAACGACCGGTGCATCGTTTCCGGAACACCAGCCGAGAAAAGAACAAGTTGGCCCGAATCGATCCTCATTTATAGTGCCGGGGCTGAGGTTTTCTCATTTTGTGGCTAATGGTCCCTTGGGGTACAAGTTTGGACAAAATTCCGTTTGCCGATTTCGACGGAGTTATTGGGTTGCACGGTGAGAGGACAGATAAAAATCAATGCTAATTTGTTTGTTTTTTCCATTAGGAAAGGGATCAGTGGGTCGTTCCTCTTTTGCACAATGTATGATTGCGATACATGTAATTCTCATTTGATATTTGCTGAATTTCCTTCTTGTTCTGTAATTATAGGGGCCTAAAAACAAATGAACATCAATACTAGTTTGTTTGTTTGTCTCTATTAGGATTTTCCATTAGGATTCTCTACTGGGACATTCGGTCGTTCCTCTTTTTTATGCAATGTACAATTGCACAAGTATGCTTTTATCCTACTTTGCTTGTTTTGTCAACGTAATGTAAATTATGGGAACCTATGCTTACGTGTAAAAAAGTAGATGAAAATCCATACTAATTTATTTGGTTTTTCCATTAGTATTTTAGGAAACGGATCTTATATTCATTCCACTTTATTTTTTATTAACATAATTTGTTATTTAATGACTAATATCCTTGGTTTTTTTAGTGTAATGCAAACGTTATTACATCGATATAAAAAAATGGCTAAACATACTACTGCATGGCAGTAGTACATTTCAAATCATTTCAACTTTCCCCATCATTTAAACAAATTCCACTCTCCTTATGTTGACCAAAGCTTTGAAATTTTCACTTCTCTGTGAAGGGGCAGACCCAGTATAAGCCTCAGCATATATTATCTCATCTCCCCATACTATTATTCTAAGCTCTATTATGTTTACTTACAAGTATAATGTATCAAGTGGCTTTATAAACTTGAAACTTCAAAATTCTAGTGAGACCAATACCCATCCTTCATTTTTTTTCTGAATCTCATTCCCATAAGGAAATTAAAACTTGAAAGCTCCAGAAATGCCATTTCAAAACCACTGGGTACGTGTACGAAGTCAGCCCTAGTTAACATTCAGCGCGCGATCCGCTACCACGGCTAGTGGAATCCAATTTGTCGGAATTAATGGGGGGAGCCTTCCGCATGGTTCACGACAATCAGATAGTGGATTACTCCACTGATTTGATGGGACCGATCCCAGACCTGTTTTTAGTGTCTTAACGCTGCGTGGGGCCTGCGCGGGGCCGGCCCGGGGTTGTAGGCTAAGGAAACTTGTTAGGCTGGCCGGTAATGCGCGGAAGGAGACGGGAGGGTTGGAAGTGAAATGTTTCATTCATGAAGAGATGGGTGAAACGATGCACTCACGTGGAGACCCAATTGCACACACTTTAATTTATATGCCCATTTATAATGTTTTAGTACAAGTTATACTGTGTTGGTATGTTGAAGTGTGTAATCTGAACTGGTTGAGAAATGTAGGCATTTCAGAACAAAAACGAGCACAGATGTACATGTATAAGTATACATATTTAAGTACAAAGTGTATTGGACAAATCAAATTTTGTCAAAACAAGACGTTCTGTCTTTCCAAACTGATCAATTTGATTGTGACTCAACTTTTTTTTATTTCACATAAAATAGTATTTTTTATTGCAAATTTTTTTTTTTTCACAAGATAATCATTGAGTTTTGTATTCTTAAAATGGATGTACCGATATGGCACCCTCAATTTGTGTCAAGTACAAATCATGTGTACGTTGTACGCGAACTTTGAATTTGCAAAAACCATAGACCAGCTCACTCCAAATATTATTACTATTTGTCTATATGTACATTTTACATCAATGCAAGTGGCAAACACCACATGAGCACTATTAGTAACACTGAGATCGCATCTGCTTGTTTTAAAGGTCAAGATGATAAAAAAAATTCCTTGAACATATTTTTTTCTCGGTGCCGCTGTAAATATGAACATGATACAAGCAATGTAACATGATACAAGCACAGCAATTTAATGCTGGAATTTTCGCTTTGTCTATCTTCAAATGGCCTTTCAGGGAAGATTTGAATGTACAAATATACACAATATGAAACTTAGTGGACTACTCTTTATTTAGTTCTCTAGAGCTATTTGCTGAATGTGATGGTTTTCATTTTCTTTACCTTTCAGAGTCAAGACTTACAATTGAAGTGCTGTTATTCCATTTTATTTTTTACCTTACTCCCTGGGCATACCTGTGTTGATGAACATCACCAAAGAAAATTTTAAGAACATCACCAAAGAAAAAAGTGTCTAGAAGTTTTATGCATTTTTCAGCTAAAAATAAAACCTTTTTTTATGTAAGCCACTTTAAAAAGTACACAACCTCAAAAATGCCTTTTGGGAAAATCTTAAACTGGTAAATCCATGTGACAAAATAACAGCTTTGCATATAATCACAACAACCTACCGGTATCCAAAATTCATTACAACAACAAATTTCGTATTTTATGATTTTTTATTTTTTTTGGCTTTTTTCCCCCTCTTTTTTTTTCTCCTCTTCTTTTTTTTTTCTAATTAAAACCCAGAAAAAAACCGTAAATCACTTTGCAAATACCACAGGGACACGACTTATCGGAAAAAGAAGGGAAAAAACGCTTCGTGCTTCAAGATAATTTCCAGTTGATGAGCCTACTGGCTCCCGGTCAAATTGCAAACCATATTTGTCTCCACCTTATACTCTGAAAAACACTTCGGGTGACGTCATTCACTTCGGATGAAGCAGTCTGTCGCTCTTGGTCCTTAGAACGCACTGCCCACAATCCTGTGTGGGCAGAACTGTGTGGTTTTACGGTATCCGGGGCTGTTTGAAGATGAGAATCAGGTGACAAATAAAGCGAAGACAAAATGTTCTTCCCGAGCGGCTGGGTACTTGTAGAGATGGGCTGCTGATTGATGTGTTTGTGAATAAAAGCAACGCCTTGTCCTTTCAGCAAATGTTGGAGCCAGAGCTGCCCACGGCCAGAATCTGACAGTTGTTTTTCTTTTTTCAAATGAAATGTCCAGATTTGTCCATAACTACAACTATGTCATTTACCTGTTTTGTATTTAATTACAGGGTTTAGAAATTATAGCCTGCAACAGCAATAGTTGAGAAAAAATCACAATAAACTTTGCTCTATGCTTTACATTTTTTCCACTTGTTGGCATATAACTGCCTCACACTTCGATGTAATTTACATTTAACATACATGTATACATGTCTTACAATTGTTAAATACTAGACAACATTTATGGTACACATATCATGTAGATTAAGCAGGGCATACATTTTTATGTACAAGAAGCTCACACGGAAATATCTCGGAAGCTGCGGACCAACGAATTCGTGTACATGCATGAGTCACGTGATTGTGCCATGTACCGGTAATTTCTGGAAGGAGTAGTGTTTTGAGTTTAAAAAAATCAGGTTTTTGACCCCAGTGACCCCATGATGACATTTGACCCCAGTTTGGTCATGTGACACATTGGGGCTGGGCTAGTGATACTTTTGACAAAGTTGGTTGAAATCGGTCAAAATATGTACATGTAGGAGCAATAGACAATGTCAGCGTTTGTTACTACAACGGACTAACGGAAAGACACGATGATTTGTTGAGCTGCTACATATCCCGCAGCTAAAAAAATATTTGTGCAACAAGTTAACCAATAGACTACATGTTTTTCGCAAACTTAAACATTCAGAATGTATTTCATGTACATGTATCATGTGTATTTCAGATGCTGACTTTCAATATACCGGACCTTGGGTACTCTGACTGTGAGCGAAATAATGATGAAAAAGAAGATTATTGAAAATATGAAGATGATAAAAAAAATTTGAGATGGTTGGAAATTAAAGGGAAATGTGGGTGAAAGCCCGACACAAGCGGCACTTGTCTGATAAAATCTTCCTCACTTTAGTACGGAGAGGCACGGATAATGAAAAGGAAATGATGACAGATTATCATCTTCCAAGACTCCCAAGAGCTGGATTAATAAAGTCTTCTGTCTTCGCACAGGAGCATGCTGATGTCATCAACATCCATGCGTGAGAACGTACATGT